TGACGCATATCCATATCTCATAATTGATCAGATCATATTGACGAAAGGATTATAGTTTCACGGTAAACGAACAAGTTTGGTTTTGTCATACTACGTGACATTTCCCGTCACATGTATTGGCCTCACACATTGCTAGATGTCAATCTGGGACGACGGATGCGAATTGATGATAAATTAAAAGGGGTGTTTTAATTTATCGATTTTGATGAAATCAAAATAATAATTCACGTCATTAGACATCGTGATCGGGAACCTAATGGGTCACATACAAAAGAGAACCAGAAGAATGCGATTTACCAATTAATTAATTGACAAGTGTTGAATAATTAATTAATTAGATTGTTTATTAATAGGCCCGAATTAATTAATTTGATTTGATTAATTTGATTAATTAAATATCAGGTCGGGTTAAGTTTAGAGACGGGTCAAGCCCACTTGGGCTTATATTAAGAAGCTGATAGGATTTGTAAATCGTAGAGAATTTTCATTATTCTTGCTAGGATAAGAAAAGAAAATCCTAACCGTTGTTCTTGTTCTATGTGTGGATCACCATTGGAGGCTGGACAATTGGACAGCTTTGATTGCAGATCGTGATAATTGGAGTTCAAGAATCAACAAAAAAGTTTGCAAAATTCATCAAATATATAATTCACATCACAGTTTCTATCTAAACAAATTGCAGATCATTAGTGGGAATTGAAAATTGTTTTATTTCTGTTGTGCATGATTAAGTAAATTCTCAACACATATCAATAACAAATTTGGTGTAGCATATATGTGTGTGTGTGTCCCAGAGTAATTTAAAATTAATGCTTTAAATTGTTACTTGAAAATAATGGAGTTTAAATCATGAAGCAACCAACAAAAACCATTTGGTTGCTTCGCAATTGGCCATTGCTCTAAGAAATGAAACTTGTTTTCTTTCTTATTGTTCAATCCCCGTGGTCCAGTTTAGGGATTTTAACAGTGTGGATATCTGAAGTACTCTTGGCATTTAGTCAAAATTCTTTCCTTCCCATATGAGAATATGACATTCAATGTTTGGGCAACAAAAATAGATTTGCTTTTGATTTGATTCTATGTGTATTATGTATTTGGTAATCGATGTTTCGGTTAAATCTCATATCATCATTATACATGATTTACACGATAAAATATCCCTTTGTTTCTATCATACTTCACAATCTATGCTTCACTTGGTATCATTTACATCGGTAAGCACTACATACCCAGATGTATTAGACGATCAAGGAAAGGGTGATTAAAAAATCATTGTTATATTAGGTTCTTCGCTTTAGTGTATGCCATTCAAGTAACTCACATTGCAAATTTGTAGAAACATCTGTTTGTTTATTTTTTTTTGATTGCTCCGCCATTGGCCTTTGTTTAAAGAAACACACTTGTTTTCTCTCCTATTATTTGATCCCTGTCGTCAAATTTTGTGATTTTAAAAATGTGGTTATATATAGTACTCTTGATATTTAGTCACATTTCTTCATTTCCCATATGAGAAGATTTGCTTTTGATTTGATGTTTGGATTCTGTGGCTGCATTATTTCTTCGGTATTGAGTTACCATTAAATCTCATTTCATCATTATACATGATACAATATCCTCTAGTTTATGTTGTGCTTGACAATCTATGCTTTACTTACTATCATGTACATCGATAGGCACTACTTACACAGAACTAATTTACGTTCAAGGAAAGGATGATTTGTGAATTTTTAGACTAGATCATTCCAATGATGCAGCTTGGTGGATATGAGTCCAACAATTATGTGGGATTCCAAGAATTGCAAAAAAATTATAGAAGAGACCAAAGGAGTAGCACTTGCATGAGTCGTGCGAACGTCGTGCATGTGTTGTGCGTTCATTGTTCCACGAGAAAAAAGTTATTGAGAGAGTATAAGTATTAAAAATTCAATGTTCTGGAAATTCCGAATGAGGCAAAATATTATGATTGTTACGCGACTATTTAAAAAGATTTGATCGGTTTCCGCTTATGGAAACTATGATGAACTCGCATTTGTAGAAATGTGTCTCATTCAAAAATTTCTGACGAGATACATTTTTGGGAGTGTTACGTGGCTATTTAAGCAGAATTTGATCGGTTTCCATCACTGACAGCAAAACTATAATGAACAAGCATTTATTGATCGCCCAATGCTTAAGACCCATTATTGTATAAATTGACTTTTTTTCGGCCCACTATTAAAAAATGTCAAATAAAACATATTTTGATGAGTGTACATTATTATTTAAAAAGAACTCGGTTCGTTTTCGTAACTAAACTGGTAATTATCTTTCTATATTATAAGTGCCTATGAAACGGTTTGAAACGGAAAGTAACAGGAATTGTTCTTCCAAGGGCGTGGGTATGTGAAACGGAGCAGTAAGTGCCTAACGGTGTGTAAGAGGACGGTAACAGTGGCAATGAAACAAAACAGTAGCAATTAAGGCCGCCATTTACCTGTAACAGGTTAGGCACCAAAGAGGCTTGAGGCTGTTGAATGGAAGTATATGTAATGTAACTGAGAATTGCCTGTTGCATTCCAGAGATTTCGTAGAATTATTTTCCCTGGAATTTGTTTTCTTTCCACCCAATTTTCCAAGGAGCAATCAAACGGACCTTTAAAGATTTTTATGAAAGGAAAATTTCATATTTGAGAGATTAAGTACGACTCATTTTGAAACTAATAAACAAGTTTTAAAACTTCAAAAATCATATATTAATTAAATATATTAAGGTCACAATTATATATTATTTGGTCATAAATTATCAAATTAATTGGTCATAGATTATTTCTCGATCACGAATCAAAAGTTTATAGGTCACAAATTATTTCTTGATCACATATTAAAAATCTTACAAGTCACAATTTATTCATCAATCACAACAAATTTTATGACTCAAATTTTGAAGTCACATATTCTTTATTAGTCACAAGTTATTGGTTACAAATCACAAATTTTATAAGTCAACTTATATCACAATAAAAAATTATCAAACTAATTGGTCACAGGTTATTTATAGGTCACAAAATAATAAATTTGTAAGTTAAGATCACATTTTTAAATCATATATTATTTACTGGTTACAAACTAACCAATTCATTGATTACAATCAACCAAATAATTGGTCGCAAACACCTCTCACCCTATAACACCCCCAACCACCGCCATGATCACCACTACCACAAAACCGCCATGACTATACCACCACCATTGACATCAGAACCACCATCGTCGCTGACACCGCCACCACCAACACAACAACACCACTACCAGTGGCACTAAAAGTGCCACTGAGGCACTCAAATTAGCGCTACTTCCATTTTCAAATCGACCACCCTCAACACCACGGCAATCGTCGTCGAGAGAAACATCGCACAATGGCATGCAGATCAGAGCCTAACAGTGGCGCTGTGAATGTTTCTATGGCCTTCAGATCAATGCGTTAGATCTGAAAGCGCTGCTTCCATTTTCAAATCGACGCTCCGCTATGCTGCTTTACAGCAGTAGTCTCTTACTAAGAAAGCGCACTGTCTGGAACCAATGCTGCTAATAAGGAGCGTGTGACGCCACCTCAGCGTCGATGATGCCATTGTAGTGGTCTCTCAATGGTGATAAAGAGAGAGAAGAGAAGAGTCGTCGGACTGAATCATCATGAAGAGTCATCGAAGTCAATCGTCTTGGAAGTGGCTGTGCTAGGAGGTGAAGTAAGAGTGAATACTGAATAGATTTTTAAACTGTAAATTAGGTTTAGTGGGGGTGGGAGTTGAGGTGGGATGGGATGGGTTTGGCAGGGTAGGTGGAGTGGAGGAGAGTAGAGGTAATAAATTAACTTAATTTAATAAAATTATATATTTGAATTATAATTTGATTTTTGAAAGAAAAGCTTGTAACTCTTTATTATGAATTGAGATATTGAAAACACTTTATCCATATAATTTCCACTTTTATGAATTTTCGTAGATGTATTCAATTAAAACCTTTTTTTACTCTATAAAAATCTAGGGTGGAGAAAAGAGGATATCTCGTCGTTGTTTTGATGATGCTGTGGGTAAGGAGCCAGTGACGACACCTCAGCGTCGATGATGCCATAGTAGTGGTCTCTCAATGGTGATAAAGAGACAGAAGAGAAGAGTTGTCGAAGTGAATCGTTTTGGGAGTGGCTGCGCTAGGAAGTGAAGTAAGAGTGAATACTGAATAGTTTTTGAAACTGTAAATTAGGCTTTGTGGTTGTGGGAGTTGAGGTGGGATGGGTAGGGTGTGGTAGGGTATGGTATGGTATGGTAGAGGTGGTAAATTAATTTAATTTATTAATATTATATATTTGAATTATAATCTGATTTTTGAAAGAAAAAATTTTTAAAATCCAAGTTAAATCACAATAATATCTAACATATGTTATTTCTCATCAATTAGTAAGCAAAAACTATTTATCCTTCGTCTGTATATATAAATAATATTCTAATACTAAAATATAACAACGGCCTCCATCATGCACAAGGACAGATATCATGTGTTTGAACATCGTCACATTTCGATAAAAAAGAATCTTATTTATCTTTACAGTATTTAAGCGAAGAGTAATGTTATTCATTCCCAGTGGGGATGAAAACACAGTTTGTGTGGTTTTAAATTATAGGTGAAATGAAACGTGTAATTAAATGACTTATTTAATTTCACCAATCATTTAATGTCACATTAACGCCACGTAAACTGTGTTTTCATTCCCAGTAGGGATGAATAGCATTACTGTTAAGCGAAATGTGTACGCATCGGATTCCTCTAAATAAAGCCTCCAACTCACCGCGTTAAATTTATAGCCATAAAATATGCCATACGTTACAATTAACTGCCTATAAATACCCTTTCCCTTGGCGTGTGTCCTACACACATCTCCATATATTTCAAACTCACAATAATCCCACAAGAAATCAACCAAAAAAACCCACAAAATCTAGATAATTAAACTTCCTTGATTTTTTATTATGGAAAAAATCAAACAAAGCAACCCACAAAATTCCCAGATTGAAATCAACGAAATTGTGTCAAAAAATGATGATATTGAAGGGCAAAATATTGTGCCAGAAATTGAGGTGGTTGAAGTTTATGATTATTCAAAGAGAGCACAGTGGCTTAGAGCTGCAGTTTTAGGTGCAAACGATGGGCTGCTATCAACGGCGGCGTTGATGGTGGGTGTTGGGGCGGTCCGGCAGGATGTTAAAACAATGGTCCTTGCCGGATTAGCCGGTTTGGTGGCGGGGGCTTGTAGCATGGCTATTGGAGAGTTTGTTTCAGTTTACTCGCAGTATGACATAGAGGTGGCTCAAATGAATAGAGAAAGTAGGGTAGACAAAAGTGAGTTGGAGGTCAAGAAAAAGAAGTTGCCAAACCCTTTACAGGCAGCAGCCGCCTCGGCCGCTGCTTTCACGGTAGGGGGATTGGTGCCTTTGGTGGCAGCGGCTTTCATAAAGAACTACCTAGTCAGGGTGGGAATGGTGGTTGCCGCCGTAAGTTTGGCACTAGTTGGTTTTGGAGGGTTGAGTGCATTTCTTGGGAGGTCTCCACTGGTGAAATCTTCCTTGAGGGTTTTGATTGGAGGGTGTTTGGCCATGGGAATCACTTTTGGTCTAACCAAACTAATTGGTTTAACAGGTCTTAATTCATGAACTCCTCACTCGACTGTCGATTTCGTGAACTGAGTCAGTGAACCGATCTGAACGAGGTAGTTTTCCATAATTCGCCTTAGTTGAAGAACCATATTTCCTTATGGATTAAGGAATAACTTTTTTTCTTTTCTTATTATATTTTTAGTTTTCTGCAATACATTCTAATGCTGTTTTATAGTTCCACAAATGTAAAAGGTCTATATTCCAAAGTTTCCTTTTTTACTTTATTCCAATCCATCCCACCGCCAAAAAAAATGAAAAAAGAAGAGAAGGAAGATACAAATACCATAATTTCACTAAGATAATAAAGGCTTTTAGCCATTTACGTCGTTGTAGCTCTTTTTTTTAGTAGTGTAGGTATCAAAAATAGTATAAAGCTAGACGAATGTGCACGTTGAAGATTTTGATTGACGACTAGAATTTTAAAAGGATAATAATGTTGACACCTTAATTTTTTATTGTTACGCTTTATTTTAATTATACTGAAGGTCCTAAATCTTTTCTTATTATCGCATTTATATCTTTAGTTTTTTTGATGCATTCTTCTTTTTAATCTATAATGAATTAGAACATATTAACATTGATATCAATTTAGGTTAAAAAAAGTCCTTTAGGAACAAAAGTTTTTATTCATAATTATAAATAAAAAATTATATATATTTGATTTGACCAAAATTACAATTAAAAAGAAACCTATCACGTAAGGTTACAATAACATTCTAAAACCTCATAATGAAGCACACAGCAAAGATATTCAAGTAATTATCTAAATGGTTGCAATGGTTCAGCATAAGAGATTTACTGGCGGCTGAAACCATGATACCATCATATCCCCTCCCCCCACCCACAAAAGATGCAACTTTTTCCGGATAATTCACTTTTACCAAGAAAAATTTTTGTTAGGGAGTTTCAAGATAAATGAGTCTATAGCACTAAGGATGTAATAAGTTTGCCCATGTTTGAGCTTCATTTTCAAATAATATATTTTGTAATATGTGAATTTTCGGAGATGTGTTCTTGAAAAGTATGAAATTTTTTAAATTTATCTGCAAAATTATTCAAAAAAAATGTATGATTGAAAATAAATTTTAAAGAATGATGGCTAGTGGCCGCTTACAGACAAAATTTAATCCTGCTAATAATATACGTTAAAATATTGAATCACTCCCTTTGAGAAGCTTGAAAATACAATTTTATTTAAAATCTTGGCATTGAAGATCTCTATAGATTTAAAACGGTTGGCAAATTAATAGATTGAATTTGCAGTTTGGCCAACTGAATTCAAGACGACAATATTTGTAACGATATGCCACCATGGAATCCTCACCCTTTAGAAAAAAAGGTGAGATTTGATAACAATAACTTTTAGTACTTAAAAAAGAATTGTTTTGGGTATTTGAACTCGTGTAAATCACGATAACATTTTTGGAGCTACTGCTTGGTAAGAGATTTTAATTTAAATCGAAGTTAACAATTAATTTTAATCACATATTTCGCCACTTTCCAATCACATATTTAGCCCTTATCGGTAGAGGTAGGCATTTTTTCTTAGAATCGGTGGAACGAAATCAGAATCGGTGGAACGAAATCAGATAGAACCGGCCCATTCAATTACGGTTTCTTTATTAAATGGATGGATTTTGAGACCATGGATTTAGATACGATCGGTTTCGGTCCGGTTTCTTATATTGCCTTAAAACAGTGAATTCAATGTTCCCTAGTTTCTCTTTTTGTTGGTATATAACACAAATATGCATTAGATATTTGATCATTAAATCCTAAAAGTATCTCACGTCAAAATTTCACTTCTCATATCCTTCTTGAAACTTAATGGGTAATCAACATTTAAATCTAAATAATTCTATAAATATTTTACAAAAATTCATAAATTTAATGCAATCCCAAAAAGAAAAAGTTTATTTTTAGTTCAATCTTTTGTAAGAAATCAAATTTCTCATTGTTTTCAAAGTGATCATCATTATAATCAAGAAATTCTCCTTAAAGATTGTTGAAGATATTCTTATTATAAATACTACATAATTTTTTTTAATACACATTGTATGAATTTTATTAATAATTTAATTTTTTATGCAGATTTTACTGTTATTCATTTTTATGCCTTATTAATTGATTTTGAGCTTTGAAATGTATTTTTATTTGTTGTCTTATTTAGTCATTGTTTGTCTTCAGTTAAAATAGAACTTTTTAATTCTTATACTCCTTTTCAATCACACTTACACAATAAAATATATAGCACGTAAAATCAAATTTTGTTTTTATTTTTAACCCCACATTTTTCAAAATAAAAAAAATCACAATTCAAAACTCTTTTTTTTTTTTCAAAATGATTTCCATCAAACGGGGTTTAATTAATTTTTATATTATTAAATTATAAGAATGATAAGTGATATTAACTTCATTTTATCTATTTTTAATCTGACAAGTAGTTTAATGCTATATTTTTATAAAAAAATTATTGTAAAGAATTGGACCGGACTAGATCGAACATGAATCAGTTGGTTCGGTTCCGATTCAATTCTATAGTTAAATAAGGAACCAATGGTTCCATTTATAAGATTTTCATTTGTACTCAATTCGGTTCGATTTCCTTTGGAACCAAATCGAATTAGAGAGCACCCACCCCTACTTGTCGGGTGCCATTGTTAGGAGTAGAATTTATTTTCCAACCAGATCTTATGGCTCACCATTTAGGCAGGTGGGTTTTGTTATCTTTGTGAGTTACATTTATACACTCATTTTTTGACATGTTCTGTGAGCATTTTTTTTTATTGGAGAGAAAGAGCAGAATAGGTAAAGTGAAATGAATAAATTATACAGTAAAATATCATATTTTTTGTCAGATAAAATGAATAAAGAAGTGACGTTTCGAAAGAGCGACGGTCTGATTTTTTCTACTTTGGGACAAAAAAATGGAAAACAAACAAGTGCTTTATTAGCTTTCGGAGGGTGGGAGCGGTGGTTGCCGCCTTGGCACCAGTTGGGTTTGGAGGGTTCAGTGAATTTCTTGGGAGGGCACCACTGGTGAAATCTTCCTTGAGGATTTTTATTGGAGGGTGGTTGGCCATGGGAATCACTTTTGGTCTAACCAAGTTAATTGGTTTAACTGGTGAATCGATCTGAACGAGGCAGTTTTTCATAAGAGTAATGCTATTTATCCCCACTGGAAATGAAAACACAGTTTATGTGGCGTTAATATGACATTAAATGATAGGTGAAATTAAATAAGTCATTTAATTTCACCTTTTATTTAGCATATCATTTAACAACACATAGATTGTGTTTTCATCCCCAGTGGGGATGAATAGCATTACTCGTGGCGTTAATGTGGCATTAAATGATAGGTGAAATTAAATGACTTATTTAATTTCACCTATCATTTAATGCCACATTAAGTCATTTAATTTCACCTATCATTTAATGCCACATTAACGCCACATAGACTGTGTTTTCATCCCCAGTGGGGATAAATAACATTACTCATTATATGAGTAATGTTAATGAGTAATGTTATTTATCCCCACTGGGGATGAAAACACAGTCTATGTGGCATTAAATGATAGGTGAAATTAAATAAGTCATTTAATTTCACCTTTCATTTAGCCTATCATTTAACGACACATAGACTGTGTTTTCATCCCCACTGGGAATGAATAACATTACTCTTGTTAGAATGTGATACAAAACTTTTCTTTGCAAGCCTCTTTCTTCTAACCGTTCAAATAGCTCAAGTTGAGAATTTATGATTATGATAGCTTGATAATAACTACTACTGAACTTGAAAACAAGCCGATTTTGGTAAAATGTTGCACTTTCAAGTCCCTACATTGTTAGAAGTTAAAAGCACTGCAAAGTTCAATCTTGGAAGTGCCAAATAGTGGGTTCTGTATATCGATTATGCATTCCAGATTCCGACTGTTGACAAAATCATCCCGGAAAATCCAAGGCTTATTGAAATTTGATTTCACTTCACAACCCACAAATGATCCCTTCATCATTTCAAAGAAAATCCATCCATTTTTAATCCCAGTTCAAAAATATCACAATCACCAAACCCAAATTAGCACGAATATTTTCACATCTGATTATGATTCCGCCATCTCATCAAAAGGATATTCGGATTCATATATTGAAAATGAAGCTGTAAAAATCCAAGCCCTTCTCAAGCTTCAGTCCGACAAATCAGTAGAAGATATCCAGCAGTCTCTTGCAAAATGCAATCTCTCTTTATCAGAAGACTTAGTGCTCAACGTGCTGAAACGTCACCGCTCGGATTGGAAAGTGGCTTACGCGTTCTTCGGTTTGGTTTGTAATGGGAAAGATTCCAATGGATTTTTCCCAAAAACCTGCATTTTTAACGAAATGCTTGATACTCTTGGCCGAATGAAATGCTTTGATGAGCTTTCCCAAGTGCTCGACGAAATGTCTAAGAGAAAAAATTTGATAGATGAGCGAACATACGCAGTTGTGACACATAGGTATGCTTCCGCACATAAAGTCGATGAAGCAGTCGAATTTTTCTACAAGAGAAAAGAGTTTGGTTTACAGCAAGACTTGATCGGTTTTCAGACGCTTTTATTGTCATTATGCCGGTACAAGCATGTGGAGGAAGCCGAATTATTGTTCCACAATAAGAGAAGCGAGTTTAGGGACGATATTAAGACATGGAACATCATTCTGAATGGATGGTGTGTTCTGGGCAGTTTACCAGATGCCAAGAGGTTTTGGAAGATTATCATGGCGTCAAGGTGCAAACCAGATATATTTACTTATGGGATTTATATTAATGCATTGAGCAAGTCAGGGAAGATAAGTACTGCAGTGAAGTTGTTTAGGTCAATGCCGGAGAAGGGATGTAGGCCAGACGTGGCTATTTGCAATTGTATTATCGACGGATTGTGTTTCAAGAAGAGAATTCCCGAGGCACTTGCAATTTTCCGTGAGATGAATGAGATGGATTGTTCACCAAATGTTGCTACTTA